TCAGTGTACAAATTATTTTTAAATGTAATTAAGTCCATTATCGTGTGAATGGTGTATATCGATACATTCGAAAGTATGTCTTCACTTGCCATACCGTTTGGGCTATTCCACAGGTGAATATTCGGTATGTGATGGTTTTCTCAAGGAACAGTACATAAAAACGAATGCATGAACACCATTATCAATATTTTAAGCAAATTCCACCGTGTATTGCTGTCTGCATTTGTAAAAAAAATGATAAGTGTACATAAGCGGTTGACATGGGGTAAGTATAGAGATCGTGGGAAGAACGTTCGGGAGTATACGTAACGTACTCATATGTTTGGCGAATGACTGCATCATTTGAAGCTGATTTTAATATTTAATACATAGAATTTTTAAAACAGGTGTCTAACTGAAACAGCTTATGAAAAATATAACTTAAAAAAAATGCACTAACAAAGACATATTTTATATTAAATAGCTCCAAAATGGCTGATCAGATCCAAGAGGAACTCGGTGCATATCTTTAGATTATCGATTATTATAATCTCATGGAACAACAATTTTCGGCACTCACAATGTCTGAGGGGAAGAGGTCGAGAATATTTTATTTTAAGAAATTGCTTGTGGTTTTTTCGGTAGTATTTTTGTATGAATAAAGGAGAAGACAAAAAAGTAGTCTTGTTCAATTTCGATAATTTGAAGTCAAAAAATAATATATTTTTATTTCAGTTTAGCTGATAAGATTTAAGTCACACCACTAGAGATAGACTGGTTTTGCAATTAATGGGCCTCAACAGTAGCGTCATAGATGTAACAACCGCAAACGATCCAGTTGCTTACTTATTGCTTCCAGATGATTCCTTCAATTCACTGAACACTTCATCTAGTGGCCACTGCTACTAACTGCATAAGATCTACGAAGAGGCCAAAATATGGAAGAAAGTGATCTATATTGTAGGCACTATGAAAGCCTGACCAATTATGAGAACGAAAGCAAAATTTTAACTGAGGATATTGCAGGAAACAACTTCTCTTTGGTCTATATGCCCTCACTAGCATTGGACTGCACTAGCAACATCATTAAATACAGCTAAAGTCATCCGCCTGTCCAGTTATTTTCAATGTCTTAACTCAAGATAGTGAGAGTGATAGTGATAGATACACGAAACGTAGCAGAGATGGTGTCTGGTGGATGGATTGGCCAAAGATGCCAGCTGTTTAGATGTCGTAGGGTATAATTCAATGCTGACAAATAGCTCGCAGAGTAGTTGTTTCCTGCAGTATCATCAGTTTTAATTTTAGAAATATGAATCCTACAAATACTTATTGTTAATTTTATTGACAACGATACCGAGAATCTTCTTCACGTGTTTTAAGATGCTCTTTCAGAAAACTGCATTGTTTACGCCACAAACAATTTATTTAAGATAAAAATCCCTCTCTGCATTTTCGCCACTCAAATGCTGAAAAATTTGTTCTCTTATAAGATCATTACAACCATGTAAAGATCTAAAACACTTCGGAGATAACTAAAAAATGTGTTTCTGGTCTTAAATGTTTTCTTGACCTGACTTCTATCTCCAGTTTGGCACCATATTCTAAAACTCTTCATACAATATAATTTAAAGGTAATGTATTATCTGAAACACTTGAGCGTCGATAATTTGTTATTTTAAAGTTAAAAATGTCGTGACATTCCGAACAATATATCGGCATAAATAATATATGCATTTGAACGTGCAGAATTATTTGGTTTTCAATAGCACAGTGCATTGTAACAATGAATGAATTGTATAAGTAAAAATAACGTAAATATGACTATTATGCCTGGTATGAGACGTAATAGATAATTTACTGTAGTTACTAAGGCGGCGGTTACATTGGATACAAATCCACACGAAAATCCGCCGGTATGTAATTTGAAGTTAAAACAAATGCTTGTGTATACGATTAAACAGTTACTTTGATTATACTTTAAAAATAACGCCGAGTAACTGTTGTATTGGTAGGAATAATTAAGAATTCGTATAATTCTGTCCAAAGAGATTCTTCGTATGAATTAGCATCTAACCGCCGCTTGGGTTAAAAAAATAGTCCAATTACAGCTTTTGAAATTTTGAAAATATTTTTCTTGATAAAACTATTAAAATATAGTATATGGTGTTCCAACGTAACTTATCTTTATACCTATAGATCCTGCTAGATGGAGTTGTTTGCGAAAATGCTTAGTTCCTTTCCAAACAATTCTAAAGCTCTTAATAAAATTTGGCATACTTGTGCACCGACGTCACTTGTTGACATAATAACTAGAGTAATTGCTCTTACAAAAATTGGTTTATGTTTCGCTCTTTGTTCCTAAAGGCTATACAAATTTTATTTACTTGATAATAAAAACGAAATAACTAGTTACGGAAATTTCGAATTTCTTGAGAATTGTTAAAAATAGTCAAGTTTAAAAAAAACTAGGTATAAGAATTATGAAACAATGCAATAAATACATCAAGTTTGAATTTGATTGTCTTCATTTGTAGAGCATCAGACTAGATGAATGTGAAATGAATACAACTCATTTTGTATTGAAGATGGTTACATTTCCAACAAATAATTTTTGTGAAAGACCATGTAATTACAAATATTTTAACTTTTATTTCCTTCTTATTATCAAATAAATGAAATTTTCCTTTTAAAATTTCAGGACCTTTGTCCTGTTAAAATGAGCGCCTATTTGAAATGTCTGGAGACAAGAAAAATAAGCATGTCCGTATTTTTCCTAGTTTTGAAAATGCAATTATCTATAGACACGGACAAAGTGTTGTACAGTTATTTGAAAAAAACTAAAATTTTTCGTCAACCTACGGCCGGCGCGCTGATGGTCAGCGAATTGATGATCAGCCTTTGTTTCTCCTCAAGTGAGCCACTGATGAGCAGTGGCAGAATTGACTTCGGCAGAAAGATATTTATGCTTTTAAAGCTGTTACTAAATTTAACGCCCAACTTGTCTAGGCTTGCAAAAAATTCACCTTCATACGTAAGCAGAGTCGATTTTGGGTGTGTGAAAACGTATTTGATAGTAAACACTTAAAGCAATGTCAAGCCAGTAAGAGATATGTCCGTAGATACGAAATTATACGTTAGTTATTTAAAAACACGTCAGAAATCATCTCTATTTCAAAATTGTTAACATGTAACAAAAATATACGATAAAACTGTTTAACATAACCCTACAAAAAGTGTTATGAAACTTTTCTTGAAACAGTTACTTATTTTTAATGAAATGTTTATTGTTTATGTTGATAGACCAAGTCAATGCCGTAAAAGATTCGATATTATTCGAGTTTAATCGGCATTACCTTCTATTAGATGAATAGAAGTATACATATTACGACGCAACTTTACGTCGCGTCAAACGTAAATTGAAACGTACGAAAAATCATAACTGCGCGCGCATTAGTACGTTCATGTTTACGTCAGTGACAATGCTTTAAGTATTTAGTTGTGTCCGAATTGTATATGTAATATTTTGACAGTAAAATCCTATGCGATACGCTTGCACTTCTTCAAACAAAATATTTTCGAGAATATTTAAGGTTACATTCAAGGTTAGTCTCTGCATACGTAAAATGTTTTATGAAACATGACTCATACCCTACGTAAACATGAAAAATACATGTTTTACCTGTTATAAAGGGTGTCCCAAAAGTAAAGCAGGATTTGAAGTGTGCGTCATTTTCATTCCGAAGAGTAGGCAGCATTATGCAGTCATATGTTGTAGTAAACACGTTACACGTTACGGTTACACAAAATGGAACGTTATACGACGGATGAGCGAGTGAAGATTGTGAAAATTCATTACAAGTACGGAGAGTGTGTAACTGAGACTGTGCGCAAATTATGTGGAATTTTCGGTAGAAGGAACGCCCCGAATTAAACAACTGTGGATTTTAACAAAAAAATCTACATATGCATTCATTGAATACTCAGCTAACCCAGGAACTGAAAGCAGACGACCATTTAATGCGCCCCACATTCGTTGCTTGAATATTAGAGAATCAACAAATGGACGGTGATTTTGCTAGAAAATCATCTTTACGACGAGGCACATTTCCATCTTAATGGGTGTGAACAAGAAAAATTGTCGAATTTGGGAAACAATCCTCGGGTCATTCAAGAACGACCACTGAATATCCAAATAGTGACAGTGTGGTTTGATTTTTTTGCTGGTGGGGTGATTGAAACGTTCTTTTTTGAAAACGAGGCTTGAAACGCAGTCTCTCAATGGGGAACGATATCGAGAGATGCTATTGAACGTTTCGTGGCTTCATTTAGATGGTATGGATTTAGATCACATGTGGTTCCAGCAAGATGGTATCATCTGCCATATACCTAGCACATGAACCAATCCATTTGTTACGGCAGAAATTTAATGGACGATTCATCTCACGTAACAGTGTAGCAACTTGGCCACCAACTTTTTGCTGTAGGGATTTGTAAAGTCCAAAGTTTATTCTGCTCAAATGAATACTATTCGTGAATTAAAGACAGCAATTCAGAGTTATCAACGAAATTCAGCCGCAGATATGCAAAAGCGTGATAAAGAATTTTCTTAACAGAAGTCGAATATGCCAAATGAGTCGCGGGAGACATCTTCCTCTTTCATGTTTATTGACAATGTCTCCCTTTTAAAACATGTAGAAACTTTGTCAATTTTTTAATTAATATTTTTTTTTACTTCATATAAAATCCTGCGTTTCTTTTAGGTCTCTATATCACGATCAACTTAAAACATCTAATATCAATAGCCCGTCCACACTACCATGATCCAGTCGATGCACTGACCATGAGCAGAACCTGACCTATTTTTTATCAAATATACCTAAATTATACATTCATCACTTCCTATACCGTCTATCTACGATGACAATCATTTTTATTCAACAAGAAGTAGCAAAAATAAACTCTGTTAAGGATAACCACTTTCACTTAAAATCGTTATGCTATATTTTGACTTCTAATTGACCTATCTTACAGTCTAAATCACAGATTCGTTAATCTCTACATCGGTGAACTCGGTAGTAAGCTCGCTGAGCTCCACCAGTGAGGACCCGGATATGTCGTCGTTTTCGGCCTCAGGGCGGTAACAGTACCCACCCTTCTCCAAATTTCAGGTGGCCGTCACGACCCAACGCTGGTTATTATACTGGGTTACGTGGGGGCGGGCAGAGATGCGGTTGGGGTATTTGGAGCTTCGTGACCATCGGGAGAAGGGCCGCAGCGAGGTAGTTTGGACGTCGCCGGAGGAGTTGCTGGGGCTGTTACCTGAAAAAAGAGTGAATCTGTAATAATGAAGTTTCTTATTTTTCCTTAATTGACACACAAGCCAACCCATGCCACCCTATGTATTGGGAACCGCAGAAATGAATCTGTCATGGGAAAAGCTTCTTCACCTAAACCTAAAAAGTCGCCAAAACTGCATTTAGTCGGTTTCTTTTTGGGGCTAATCCTGGAAACCAGTCGACGCATGATACTCGTGAGATTCATTACATATTTTGTAGATTCAATCCGCTCTAAAAATCAGTTAAATCAAACCCAACCCACGAATTTTCAGCACGAAGATAGCAAAATCCAGACAAGTAATAAATTGTAAAAAATCTAAAATCCTAACTCACAGTCACTACAGAGTACTTATCTAGTACCGCAGGCATACGAAGACAATATTAGTCCAGCAATCTTGCATACCTTGAACACCCCAAAACCCTAAAGTAAGCTACAACTTTATATTTTCTCTCATATTATGACCCTGCAAAGAAGGATGTTGCAGTTTTAAAACTACATCTAAAACCTGTAGTAATCTTGAGTTATTCTTTTTCCTTTCGTATCTCTTTCAGAAAACATAACATTTCAAACATAAAGCTGTTGCAGATTTTGGAGCTTCTGAGAGTAAGCAGTTTCTGATACACATTAAGAACTGCAGGGTTACAGGGACGTCCTCATTGCTGAGTTTTGGCAGCTTTTTTTTAGGTTTTGTGGATGGATTCTGACAATTCAAAAAACAAAAACTCGAGAGTTGTGGAGCATTTCTCATGACATATTGGGCATGAGTCCTATTTGTGTGTGTATTTATGTTTTTATACAGGGTGTTTATTTGGTGTTTTGCCACATATGAACAAAATAAAAATAATAATAAAATAAACCCTTACGGCAAAAGGTCAATCAAGGATTATCTTATGAAAATGAAAAAAAGAAAGCAACCAAATAAAAAATTCGAAATAGACATCACAATATTAGTAGGTATAGTTCAATGTTATAGCAAACACAATTTACCAGTTGGCTTGATTTATTTAACAACTATTAAATTAGTAACAGAATATTCTTAAATTAGTTTGGTTACTTATTGTAATTAATTGTTAGATATTTTAATATAATTTTTTGATTGAGGTACTATGTTCCACTTATAATTTACTTTTTTTTCTACAACATTAGCAAAAAATACTGAGGGAGGAAAATAGCATTTTAACCTCATCTAAACTGCAGTAGGTATACTGATTATTATCAGTTGAATTTAAGACTTTTGTTATAACATTCTTATAGCTCGGATACTTTAAGGTATAGGCATTAAGAGAAATCATATATCATGTAACGCAATATTTAGTAATGAATCAAATTAATAAATGATATATTCTTGTTTCTGTAAAATATATCTCTTCAGGATCATCAATTTGCTCGATGGCTAATTCTTAAAGAGCATGTGTATTTGTTCTATCTATCTATTTATAGGCATTATCAATCTTAATATCTTAAAGTAAGTAAAAAATATATAATTAAAGCTCTTAAAGCTTTTAGAAATGTGTTGACTTTTGATTGGAGGCAAGTTGGTTCAACTCGTAAAATATATTTAATTCAGTTGCAAATTTATCAAAATAAATGAAGTTTAATTGTACTGGAAGATCTCTAGGCATGATGACAGATTTTGAAAAATTGTTCTATGATGTTCGGAAGTATTTATTATTTCCTAAAAATATCTGTCTGTAGAAAATAACAGGTTTAGTAGAAAAATATTGATATTAATTTTAAGTCTAAACTCACGCAAAAACGGTCGTCGGTGTCATGGCGTCTACGTGACGTCACAGCTGTGTTTGTCAACAGTAAACATAAGGTGCTAACATTTTGTGTTGCAAGATTCATTGGTTAAATAAAAATTCAAAGTTACCATAATAGTATATGCATTTTATTTACCCCCAAATTGTACTTTGGACAACAATGGATATACATTATCTTTCCATGGAAGAGACTAAAACATTAAGAAAATTTGATACGTAGTTGTCATCAAATGTAACATTAATTATTTATACTCTTTTATTTGTATTGTAGTTGGAATCAGCTACACCGAAATAACCCTTTTGAAGCGCTGTTAAATACATTTGTAGCAACCATCTGCACATAAAACTTCTGGGTCGGTTTTCCTTTTTCCATATAATTTGTAAAAGTCTTCATATTTGTGGTACATTTAATTTCAATAGTAGGTACTGTCTTCAAAGATTCCGTCAGGCGATCTTGCTGTAGTGGGATAGTTTTTGCAAAGCATTATACCACATTTTTTAAATTTTTTCCCCAAACTGGTAGTTTTCCTCACTTCATCCTCCAACATTCTATCGCGTTTCGTGGCCGATGCGTCTGGGATATTTCCTCCCATTATTAACTTGATCAGAGTTGTATCATTCGTTTTGCACTGACTAAATTCAAACGCTCATGAGACCGTCACTCTGACATATCTTACCTTATGCCAAAAACAGCTTTGATGTTGGTCTCGTCTTTTCTTCAACTTTCATGTCGTCTTCATCAATCAATACGAGTTTTTCAAAAGTGTGTCGCAGGACTGTTCTATGATTTCAGCACCAATTTATGCATGGATAAAATTTTGATCACAAACATAGTCTTTTTGATATTTTATTATTATTATTCGCAGTTGTTGAGCTTTTCTTTTCTTCTTTTAGAAGCTATTCAAGTACCTAACGTTTCCTGATTATGGTTTTAGTAACACAAACCTAAGCAACTGATAGTTGGGAAATAAAAAATATTTAAACGAAGATAAATACTGCGGTATATTGTCGATATTGTCGAAATACAAATGACACAAAATGACATTTACATAGATGTGACGTAATTTGCTCTGATTGGCGTTCAACCTATCATGGCGGTTAGCTGTATTTTGTAGTTTTATTTTAACAAAAATATAATCAATCTCGCTCATAAAATAAAAATAAATACGTATTTTCCATGAATCATATTTCATTAGATAAATACATAATTTTAGTGAATCTTGGTTACTGTCATCATGCCTATGGCTGTCAGTAACTAATGACAGTAGTAAAAAATATGTCCTCTGTGTTTTTCGAATTCATTAAACTTTAATTGAAATATTTTTTAAAATGATGACAGTACACGAAAAGGAGTTGAATTTAATAATACCTGTGGAAGTTTAATTGAGTCATTTAGTTATATTTTTAAAGAGCAATTTACAAAAACAAGACAATTTACCTATGTAGAGGCGTTATTATTATATCCATTATTCGTGTTCCTTTCTATACACCTTCTGCTGTAATTTCATGAACCATAAAGATAATATTTCGTAATGCAAAACATAAGTTTAATGGAACAAATACAGCTCTATTAATATTCCTATACAGTACACGTATCGTATTCATGATAATGAGGGCTGCTATTATAAATAAATACGATACCAAGGTAGCTATGAGAAGTTCTCTACATATAGGGTGTCAGAAGATTGCCTACCATTAATTTAACAGATTAAGATAACAGGTAAAAAGATGCTAAACTCAACTGTAGAGTAAAAAATATAAAAATCAGTAATATTTTGCCTATAGACAAAAGTGTTGACGAGAACAAGGAACAAGAAAACTTTAGAAGGAAAAGAAGGGTTATTTGATTTATTTTTCGTTATCCGATTGAAGTTTAAGGCGTTATTCTTTAAATCATTGTTGCCGAAAGCGCAGGTTCGAATCCCATAACCGAACGAATTAGATCAACAATTGGCTTGGGCCAGAGTAAGGAATTGATAACAGTCGGGGTTTGACTATCCTCCTAAATAATGAAGTTTTCCAGGATCCGTTCATTCTTGCAATTTAGGTTTTAGTAATATCACTCACTTCTAGGTGCTACAACGGCCAACTGAATCATATAATGCTACTGCTGGGTCACTCGCCAAACATTCGTCAAACACAAACGCCAAATAATTGCAGATTATAGCGTCAAGTTGTATCATACATACAATGTACAGAAGTTAAGTATGAGCAAATATCTCCCAAAATTTTCCTAAATGTTTTACACACGACATATATAATTACCAATTATCCTCATGTCAACCGCTGATTTAAAGTGTTAATTGTGGTGTTCATACTTTCGGATATATTCATTACACAGCCCTACAAAAAAATGTCTGCATCGGACTAGACCACTAAATCCTTACGTTTTCGAGGTCGCCGATTCTGAATCCGGGGTCTGTTTGACCTTATCAGGTCAGGTTAAAGGTTATTTCAAGATCAAACCGAGAAGCGAATCATTCTACACATATCCTTTCGGAGCAGTTGTCATCGTTTCCAGTATCCTTCATGGTAGCAGGATTGTAAAGGCTCTATTAGGACCATCATAGAAATGAGGCTTTTACTTAGATGATTGATGATTTTGATTTTTACTTAGATGTTTGATGATCATGTGAAGGCTCGTGAATGTTGAGTCTTTCGCTCCATTAGATGAGCGAGTCAAAAATTGTTTTGTAAGACAAACCAACAAATAGATATAAGTAGCTTTCAAATAACATTGACCCTGATGTATGATCAACTGGAATATTCTCACTAAACCCTATTTAGAAGTTACTCAGTTTAACCTCAAAATGACATTGATCTTGACCTGGTAGAGACAAAAGGAACCCTAATTTGGACACAGCGGCCTGAAGAATCATTTAATTACTTTGGTTGCCTCCGCTATAGTGGATATTTCTCAGTATGACCTTCGAATGACTTTGAACCTGACCTAGCAAGGCCAAACAGACCTCGGATTCGAACTCAGCATTCTCGAAAATATAAGGATATAATGGTCTAGTCCGATGCACAGATTTTTTGACCTTGAAATGACCTTTAACCTAACTTGACAAGGTCAAATGGACCTCGGATTTGGACTCGGCATTCTCGAAAATATAAGGATATAATGGTCTAGTCCGAAGCACAGATTTTTTTTTGTGGAGCTGTGTTAACTTTAATGTATTCTTATTTACCATTTCTTGAGCGAGCAATATAATATTC